TTTCCCTGCTTACATCTCCTCTCCTCCAGACTGCAGGTTAAATCAGCCTTCTCCATCCTACTGGACAGGAGAACAATCAAACCTCATAACACTTTATCCTCTTCTTCCAATAAATTGGGATGCTCAATAGGGACAACTGCTTTATTGGGATATCTGCCAGGGAAATGATTTAGCCTAATGCTCCTGAATGGCAATGGCTACAGTTTAATCAGGGTGTAATTAGCATCAATTCTGCTTTATGGGGAGGCATTTGGCCAGTGCAAAGGCTCAAAAGCTTTTTAACCAGTTGTCAAATGAGAGATGGTTAGTCCCAGTTCAAATAGGGAAGGTAATAAAACGGATGTGAAAAAGCAAAAATGAGATGATTGCCATTCCAGTTATGTTTTTTCAAGCTCTACTAACAGCCCCTTTAATCAAGGCTATTAGATTCCATTAAGAGCAATCTATCGCTGCTTCGTATCACAGCAAAATCAGCATGGATTATATGCTACCAGCAGAAAAACCTTCAAGTAAAGCAGCGACTTATTCATCTTGCCCAGTGTTAACCATGGTGATGAGAATACCTAGGCAGATGCAAACCAGAAGTTTTATTTACCTGCTTGGCATTTCACCTGTCCGAGTCATTTACAGAACGACAAATTTTGCAGTGTCTGAATTAAACTCAGTTGCTTATTTGGGGACAAAAATTGTACCAACCTACTACAGCTAAGAAAAGCAACAAGAGGGGGGGAAAAAAAAAAAAAAGCTGTAGTTTCATGATACAAGGATTCGTGGTGGCAATCCTCCCCGAGTATTCCTGCTTCCCTCCAGTGCTGCAGGCCCATCCTGCAAATCAGTTCAGCAAACTGATGCAGGTTTAAATAAAAAAGGAACATGAGGACGAGAACTCCTTCAGCCAAAACTATTGCGGAGAAGAGGGTATGTGAAACATGTCCCGAGAGATGTCATGAACTGGCAAGGAGTCAAGCAACAAACAGCAACACGAAGCCAGAAGACCTCCTTCTCATAGAATAGTTTACATGTTTTTTTTTTTCGGGAATATTAAATTTGTTCTGAAGTTAAACACACAGCAATACTTTCCAGCCTCGGTAAGCCTGGGGAGGTTGTTTTATGAGAGTGACAAAAGGACAGAAGTTGAGGTCAGGCGTTCACCACAGTACTGTTCTCCTTTAACTGGTGAAAGGGAAAAATCTCTTCCATTTCAAACCCCTCACTCTTTCTTACCTTCCTTCCATGTTAAGGATACACATCAGCTCATCCTCAAAAAAATGACTGGGGCACCTGAGAGTCTCAATGTCACTGAATCCATCGCAGGGGACCTGTCAAACCAGACGATGAATTATGCAGAGCACAACAGATTCTTTCCAAAAGAACACAGTTTCATAAAAAGTCTCAAAACTAATTTTGTTCTATTTTTTTTTAAAGATCTTAAAAATGTCCAGCTCACCAAGTACTCACAGTCTCTACTCCATCGATTTATTACAAGGATCCATTGAGAACGCCAGTAGCACCCTACAGCAACTTGAGCTAACTACTACAGCAGTCAGGGCTCCTACAGAGGGTGTATGGACCAGCACAAGCATACCAGACCTTATGCAGGCTGGGCCCAAGCTGACAGTAATTTTAAGGCATAATCAACTTTTGCCTGTGGTTGACTGAACCTCTACAAATCCTCCCTAGTGTAGCAAATTGCTCCTGGGGGAAGGAACGAAGGAGCAGGAGTCTTCATTTCAGCCTCAAACTTATGCTTAAAAACCTCATCTGATTAATGATGAACTCAGAGTTACCAGCTTGTTGACAGAACAGCATTTTTTGAAACAATCACTTAGGTATCTATATTCAGAAGAGTTATTTTCTTCCAGAATTCGGAATTCTTTTTTAAGCTTTGATTGAACTGTAACAAATCTTTTTGCTTTCAAGCTTTTCAGCACAGGACTTGGGCTAATAGAGTAAGGAAAAAGCAATTCCCATTATACTGTATCTTAGCAGGCACTCCGCAGGACCTAGTGGAACTGGGTTGAAAGTCTCTTCCCCTCAATTCTAAGCAGGGAATCAAGCCGCAGTTTTGAGCCTCACAGGAGATGGTCCTAACTATTAGGCCTTTGGGTATCACTGAATGGTCTCTCGGTAGCCTTTGCATACGTGATTAAAACAGTAGGAATCCAAGAGCCTCTGTCCCCGGTTAATGCCATGACACACATTTCTCCGTGGTCAAACGTCCATCTGCTGCAACTACAGCGGAACAGCTCAAGAAGAACATCTAAGAGATATGCATCTCCAGATACCCTACTCGCCCCACGCACGTCTTCTCCAGGGGTGAAGACCTAGATGCCAACCCTTGCTTAAAATCAGATCAGAGGATTTCAACACTGGTCTCCTGTATCTTAGGGGAGTTCTCTACTGGACCACAACATATTAGCAAAGGAGCCACAGAGCAGTGACCGTTCAGTGGCTCTTGTGTGAACTTTTTAATTCAGCCAAAGTTTCAGGCAGCATTTATGCCTATTTCACAGAATTTCAGGTTGACCCAAATTGTACAGCTAGCCAAAGCCCACAGCCGTCCACTAAGCAAACAGTCAATGAAATAACTGTTGTTCCACATGCAAGTAAGTCTTTCTGAGAGATTCAGTGAACCTATTGCACCTTGGTCCTGTTTTCAACTGACTTCTGACAACTCACAGAATGTACCCTTGCACAAGGTCTGCAGTGAGATAAATTCATAGGCTGTGGTACGTGTCAACAAACTAACAGTCCTTCAGAAGTTCCCAGAGTCAGGTCTGAACACGTAGTGATGAGCAAAAAGCTTTTAAAGCTGCAGCAGCAACAGCTGAATGGGATATGCAGAGTGCGCTTTGGACTCTATGCAGTTTGCACCTTTGGATTTTGAACGCGCTCTCTCCCTTTTTGGCTGGTGATCTAGCATTTTCACACAAAGCGAGGAAATATGAATTTTCTGACTGCATGGTTGAAAAGATGTGAAGAGAGAGGAAACACAAACTAATAAAAAGTACTAAACAAGGAGCTAAGCTGTTGCACATACATAGAGAAGACGACTTACATGTTCTGAAAAGAACCTTTTGGAGAAGGAAGCTACAATTCTCTGGGCTTCTAGACCAGCATTGTGCCGTGCTTTGTATTCTTCAAGCCAGCTAACACCGTCTGTGTGGCTATAGTATTTCAGCAGTGATGGCCATCTACACAACGAGACATAAGTGAACAGGTTCGTTAGTATTTCAACATCACCGACAACCTCCAGAACCATAAAATGTTGCTTACTGTAACTGCATGACTTGAGGAGCTGAAACACTGCCAAGACACAGTACAACTTTAAATGTAATTGTATAAACTAATACAATGACTGACTCAAGCATCAAAGCATAAATCCAGCTGGTTTCATCCGCATCTTAATAGTTATTTAGAAGCAAGCTCTCCTGAAGCCTGCCAACAGGAAACCTTCAAAAGGTTCATACTGCAGGTATTTCAATATCTAAATACCCTAAACACTCTGGAGATTTCCTCTAGAGCTTTGCAACATAAACACAGGTATCACATTAGTAGAAGTGATGCAGAGTTTTATAATAATTAAAAAAAAAGTTTGCTGTTCTGAAGATGTATCACATTTAAGCTAACTTGTCATCTAATAGAATGAGAATTCATTGTCCTGTGTTCTCCCTACCACCTTGTGGGCCTAATTAAAAGGATGCACAAAACAGAGCTCCCTCTATTGCCCTTGCTGGTGGCAACATCTACTGGAGGAAAACAGAATTCTGAAGTCAGATTGTGACAGCTAAATGCTTTTGCAGTTAATTTTTAATACAAGAAATAATTATTTTTAACCCCCTCCCCCCCTTTTCTTGTAAAAGAAAGCTGTACCTGCTTTATTGAGTCTAAAAGTCCAAAAGCTAAATCACATTCCACAGCTTACTAAGAAGCATTTCAAGGTTCAACTGAAAACCTAACTTCAGGTAATGTTTTGGGGGCTAGTAGCAGCAGCACTTTTTCTAGTAAAGTGGGCATGTGCTGCCACAACGCAGCCCTGTGCAATAAAATACATGCCAGCGCAGCAATACCCATGGCTGTTCTGAAGACACAAAGATCATTTGTGTATGAAACACAAAGAGGAATCGGCGCAGATGGAAATAATTTGGACAGAATGGGAAAGAAAGCTGAGAGAAAGGCCTCTTGTAGTTTACAGGGGAGTTTATTTCACATTTTGAAATTCTGTTAATTATTACTGGTTTTTACAAAACATTTTCCTTCAAATACATGGCTTGCCTTAGGTTCTTTTCAGGTTATATATATGATACATAATTTTTAGATATATATATATATTTTTTTTTTTTTACCTTTAAAAATAGAGAACGCCAAATGTTTAAATCACTACTTCTGTATAAAAATTATTACCAACTGACCAAAAGGCACAGCTGTGCCCATCCACATGTGGAAGATACTTTACTACCAGTTAATAATAAAACCACACTGCAACTGCAGTTACAAAATAAAGTCAAAGACTAACCAAATAACTTCACATGATAGAACAACCTCTCTCCTGATGGATCCCTAGCCATTTATCTACCACTGAAATGTAGCCACGTCGTAATAACAATTACAGTCATTTATTTTAGGATGAGAAAGAATAATTTCTTGGGTTGAAATTATATTGAAAATTTCAGGAAGATAAAGTGCAATTACTCACAATGGAATCCAGCCACGATGACAAGGTCAATGTGCAAACTCCTGCCAACAGTTCTATTATCAAAGACAGAGGAGGGCAGCAGCATGTGCTAATCACCTACCACATTCAATTTCGGCTGTTGGATCTAAACCATTTTTAAACTTTCAGGTTCACTCCAACAATTAGAGCCACTGAATTGGTGAAAGGATCTGGCCAGCCATCCCAAGCCACAGCTCGGTGAATCAGGGAAGCTGTAATTGTTCAGTAGCCCTTTCAACTGGCGGAAAGAGAATAATCCTCTCATTTGAGCTATGCTAAATTTTAGAAGCCAACTGGCAATTAGAGAAAGCAGTATTGCTACTTTTCCTGTGCCAAAACACAGACAAAAGCAGGTAGCAGATGAGCGTGCCCTATTCTAGATATGTTAGCGGCCCCAGTGAAGGAGTGGTGTTTCTAGAACTACTGAAACCACCGTGGCATAAGCAGTATAAACAGTAACGCTTGTGCTTTATTGCCAGCTCAAGTATTGACAGTTTCACTGGTTACAACACAGCTATGCCCTCATCAGGTACCCTGTGACTGCCTTTGGGGGAAACTAAACTCACAAGCAGCAAAAGCCAGTCAAAGGATTTCGGTTTCTGTGAAAACCGTTCTCCCGAAAGCACTACAAATAAAGACCTCTTTGCTATGAAGCATTAGTCCTGTGACAGGACAGGCTTTGGCAGTTTTGGACGATGCCAGCTAACACTGCCTACCTTAGCGGGATGAGGGAGGCCAACTGACAAGCCCAGCATGCATGTGGCCCTATGTCTGCATCGCTGCCGGACCCCAGGTTGGATCTGGGGCCTGCAGGTAATCCAAGTGCCTGGCTGTGGAAGGGGCCGCAAGCACTGCTCTCCTCTGACTGGCAGGCTCAGCCTGGTCCCATCCCGTGGGATTCAGGAGGGGAAGCAGCCTTGCAACAGCCCCTGCCCGGGAAGGACACCCCATCTCCCCACCCGTTAGATACACGGCAGAAAGCCGCAGGGCTCGTCCCACCCGTGCGGGGCTCAGCACGCACCCTGCGGAGCCGGGAAGAGAAGAGAGACAAAGATGGGGTGTGTGGGGTGCACTTCCACCGCCCCAGGAGCACCCAGGCCCTCCCAGGCCAAGGGGACCGAGGGCACCGTCCCCGCCGCCAGCCGAACCCCGCCGGCTGGGTCCCGGCCTGGCTGACAGGGCCCGCCCGGCCCCGGGGCCCGGA